AACTCTGAGCCTTTGCCATGTCACACTACTTTCTAAGCTTAGCTAAACTAACTCCATTGTTAGAACAATTACAAAGAATGCCAAGATAAAGATATCAGTATATGAGCCCCAGATTGTATGTTGATCCTAAGAACACATCTTCACAGACACTATGTTCTCTATAGAACTTTCATTTCCAGGAACATATCTGCCCCCATCCTCTCCCCAGCCTGAGGGCATGTCTATAAAATACACTGCCTGACTCCAAAGAGATATTACATAGATGTTAGTTACAACTGCCCACAAGCCCTCCTTCCTCAATCTCTGAAGATACCCACACTGAGCCATTACTCATCAGACAGGCATCTTCTCCATTTCACTTCTTTTTGTCCAAACTGTACTTGTCATTCTCTTTCACTTCCATGGGCTTTGTTCATTTTCCTTCCTTTGACCTTCCCATAAGACCACTTCTAAAACTTGAACATCCAGCTCAAAGGTAACTTATTTCAGTAAACCTTCCTAGTCTCCCATGTACCCTCTGGTATCACTTCTCCCCAAAGTATATTACAAGAGCCCTGCAGGGCAGGCTCTGATGTGATCCGTGTCTGTAACCCCCTCCCTAGTGTCTAAAATGCTGTTTGACATGGATCAGATACTTAACGTTTGTTGACTGAGTGAAACAATAAATCCTTGAAGAGTGTGTCTGGTTTAGACATACTAACTCCGAACTAGCAGAGGAGGCACCAGTAGAGCCGTCCGTCACCCACTCACGGGGTCAGGACTACAGATGCACATTTGGCAGGAGTATTCACCAGAGTGACATCCGAAGCCACGGAGCTCAACAAAACAATGCGCTGAGAGGAACGACAACAAAAAAAGGTTAAAGCAGAACATTTTAGGGGTGAAAGAAGGCAGTTCACCTAAGTCAAGATTATGATTCAACAATAAATCATAGAAAGAAGAAATCCAAAGGAGTACAGTCTCAGGAAAACCAAAAAAGAGCGATGGGAAACACCTCTACAGCATTAGTTACAGAAAAGCAGAGTTGAAGGCGTAAGGCTGCCATGTAGGTAGTAGTGATTCAAAAGTCCCTGGTGACCTCCTAGCAAGTAAGGGTTAGGGGTAGAAGTGGGGCTGGAGGAGCTGCGGCATGAGTAGGAATGATAAAAAGTGTAAGGCTATCCTTTCAAGAGGTCTGACAGAAAAAGGAGACAGAATCATAGTGCCAAGGGAGTTTGGAAGCAGCCGTGAACATAAAAGAGCAGAGGAAAAGGTGGCTAGGCGGGTGAAGCACAACCCAAGCATACAGCCCCTCACTACCACCTCCAAGCAACGAAACGGGGGGGAAGAGGTCACGGGGGCTGATCGAGCTCTGGTGCTTACTCACCTGAGTGGTCTTGGAAGAATCATTTCCCCTCCCTTAGCTAACCCATCAGATTATTCTAATAGTAGAAGTTAATAAGTGCACAGGAATTTTAGAAGGGCTTATCACTTTGTATAAAGGTCTTATTGTAATAGATAGTTTGTAATCCTAAACAAATGTCTGTCATTTTTCATTTTCGCTCATCAGTGTGACAGAGAGAAGCTGAAACTCCCTCGTATGTGATGCTGATCTACTTACTCTAATCCCAGCAAAGAGGGTAAGACAAAGACAAGGAGAGAGAACACAGGATAAAGGCAGGGTATATAGAGTCAAGGCAATGATGGCAACCCTTCCAACTCCTTTCCAGATATTCTGCCACTTTTCTAAACTGGGGACATTAGTCAAGGGCTACCTCCCCCAGGTGAATGGAGAACTGCCAAGAGCTCCTATCAGAACTGAGTATGCCTGCTGCTTGGCAGGGACAGTATGTTTACCTCAAGGTGCCTGGTCAGTGATAGGTTTCAGTAGAATCATCACTGACCTCATGACTGTCTTAAAGAATAAAACAAAAGTGTATACTTAAGTTTTTGTAGTTCCTTGGTTATCTTGTTTTGGGATTTCCCCGCAAGGAAATGCTGCAAGTTCAGTGGTACTTTTCCACACTCAAACCATGTCATGGAGACTTTCCACGTGAAGGGGAGGCTGCCCCTGAATATTACTATGGCCAGGGTCAGGGCACACATGGCTGGTAGTTTCATTGTAAAGATCTTTGCTGCAAGCATTTTCCCAGCACAACTGACTGACCATAAGAAATTTCACCATAAAAGATGAAAAACCAAAATATAAAAGAGACATTAAAAAGGACATAATGAAACATGAAAGATAAATAACAAAATTAAAAAGACTTTATTGCACTTCTTTTTTTTTTCACTAACATTTCTTCCTTCATTAAGAGAGGTATCAATTTCCAACTAAAGAATCAATAATGCTCTAAAAGACTGTTATGAATTAGGAGCCACCTCTTTTATGTTTGCCATTTCATGGGTGGGAGGGATGACTGTGCTCACCAAAAAATATGCAAAAACTGGTATGTTATCATTTGCTAGTATAGTATGCAATTTGGCTAAGATTCATATAATATAAAAATGGGGAGTGCTGCAAGAACTCTGTCAATGGAGAAATGAAACCAAACTGACAAATAGCTTAAGTACATTGTCTGCTAAAGGCGGATGACTCATCAATGAAGAAACGAAACCAAACTGTCAACTAATTATTTTATCTTTTATGATAAAATTGCCTTACTGCCAATTAGTTGTGTCGAGAAAATGCTCACAACAAAAATGCTTGAGGCAAAGATGTTTACAGTGAAACTACCCAGAACCCAGTGTAGTATTTCCTCAAACACTTGTGAGTGGAATACAGTATCACACAAAAGGTATATTTGCAATAGGAGGTATATTTGCAGATCACAAGTGGCATATTAAGGTCATGGATGCTAACAAAAAGATACAGGGAGAAACTAGGCAGAAGTGTTCAATTAAGTCAGTTCACAATGAACTTCACATAGAATTTATTCTCTCATTCAATGGAAAGGAATGATAAACGCTGCTTTAAATTGATGAGTAATGCAAAAGTCATCTACATTTATCTTTAAGATCATTGTGTTTTTAAAAAAGTTCCCAACTGTTTGGCCTAGTGTAACTTAAAATTAACTTCATTCCATGAGCACACCTGGACAGACTATCCATATGCCTCTCCTATTAAAAGAAACTAACAAATTCCTAGAGAAATCCACATGTAGAATGTTGACTGTATTTTTAAAAACTAAACTGGCTTTATTGTCAGCATTCATATTGTTATAGGAAGAAAAACAGTATCAGTAAGTAAGTAAACCCAGTACCATTAAGGCATATTAGGCTGGTATGATAAAGGTTAAAAGAAATGGGATTCTATGCAGAAGGTCAGTACTTTTAACAGCAGTCAGTCTATTCTACTGAAATCAAGCAAAATCATTAGGGCAATTACAGAAAAAATAGGTTTCTTACAAAGAAATGAGATAATGATATAACAAATATACGAGACATTCATTAATGCCTTTTTAATCCTTGCAAACATAAAAATGACCCAATAGAAAATGCTGATGTATATGTGATGGAGGAGGGAGAATAAACAGTGGGAGCAAAGAAATCTCTCTAGTACAATCACCTTTGTTAATTCAACGCATATTTACTGAGAGCCTACTAAGTGTGCCAGGCTCTGTTCTCTAGACTGAGGATACCAGAGTAAACAAAACAGACAAAAACTCCCTGCCCATATCGAGCTTAGAATACAGTGAAGGATTTAAAACATGTGACTTTGAGCAAGGCATGCCCTTGGGTGACTACAAGGTTTATTACAGAGAAATCAAGGCAAGGAAGACTGCCAATACAAATTGAACACACATACACATGATACAAAATGAACACTGTTGATGACAGTGAAACTGAAAACACATGCAGAGACCACGTTCTCATATTTCTAAATTATTTTTGCTAAAATCAAATGCCAGCGACTAACTACTTTTCTCTGATGTGGCCTGATATAAGTATGAACAATAACAACCACAAAAATCTCAGATGACCACTGTTACATGATGAACTGGGATGAACCACAATGGGCAACCAACAAATACTAACAGACTGGTTTCTGCTGGATAAAAACTTTAAAAATTAAGGAATTAACTGATAAACTCTCTAATTTATCTGGAAATGTATTCCGGAAATGGAATAAAAGTATTAATTACATCAAAGAAGTTTTTGCAAGTATGGAAACAGGGTTATAAAGTAAATGTAGGCAGATATCTCTGCATATGGAGTAGTTTCACATTTTGTCCAACAATTTGCTGAAATATGATTCTGCTATTTTCCCAGTCAGCTCATAAGGCATAAATAGTGTACATATGCCATGTTACTAAGGGATTTCAACTCTAACAAGAGGTTAATGGAATATTCTTGGCAAACAGATTGCACTCTTTGAGGGCTGCACCTTAAATAAACGTATAAAAGCAAAACAGACAAAAACACATGCAGGCATAATGCATATACCGGAATCAAACGATGAGGGAGACAAAACTTGCAGCTGAAACATTCCAGGTCATCAGTTCTGTCCACTGAAAAAGAAATATCTAAGAACTTCACCATCAAGAGGCTGAGAACATACACTTGGCCCCCCAAGTTTTAAATGACTGTCCGCCAAGAAGGGAAGTGGTGACGGTTCCTCCCAGGCCCATTCAAGGCCCGAGGGTCGAACCCCTGGCCTGACACGGCGGGACTGGCAAGTACACCTAAGGCAAAGGAAGAGTAACAGGTCCGAAGCCCAGGAACTCCAACGAGAAAGCAAAACACAAAGTTTAAAAAGGTGAAGGGAGGAAGGCGGAGAAACCACAGCAAATAAAATAAATAACTAACAGGAAAGCAATACAACGTCGGAGAACCCACCGGGCCATCTCCGCCACTCAAAAGGCAGGGCTGGAGAAGCCCCAAGGGCCGGAATCTTCGAGCCCCGGAACTCAAGATCCAGCCTGAAGCGGGCGAGGGTGAGCAGTTCCCGGGAACCCCCTCCGGCCCCTCTACCACCAACCCCGCCCATTGGGTCCGCCCCGTCCCGCCCGGCTACTCACCGGATTCGCTTCCCACATAACGGTGGCGAAATCGAGCGGAGAGAGCCTGGGGGAAGGGGCTAGCCGCGGGCCGGGTGTTGGTTTTTTTCCAAGGGTGCCTGGGAGCGACGGGACGGAGAGGCAACCTTAAGCAGGCCTTCTTTCTCCCTCTCTGGGTCACAAGCCAGCGTCTTCGGACCACCGAACCTCCCGACTTCC